GGCAGTATCATGGTATAGTATACTATGTATGATCTCTTGTTTTGCCTAATTTTAATAATAATCATAAGGTGAAGGAACTTTTCAGAAGAGCTTCTTTAAACACTTTTGACAAATCTTTTGGATCACTTTGTGGCTTTTTGAAAATCCAGTTTAAGAATGCAGGTTTTTGTGCTGTTATTCCGCAAGGGAAAAAAATCTTTATCTTTTTGTTGTAAATTTTCCTATTGCAAATATAGGTGTAAGAAATAAAATTACTGGCCTTTTTTTCCCCCTCCTACTCTCCGGGTTACTATTCATTTCTTCAAAAGCTGATGTAATTTGAGGATCCAAGTCTTCCGTTATTGTTCTATTGTTTTGGTATCTTGAAATGAGAGCCTTTAATCTATTGCCTCAGAAAAATCTCCTCATTGGTGAGTTCTTGGGAATAAGGGCATTGTTTCATGAATATCTAGCTTGTTTGAAACTCTAGCTGTCACTGACCCAGCCACCTTTACGGCCCTCCTCATTCCTTTGACCTTGTTAATTAGAAACAAAATCTCAGTAGTACCTTACTAACTACTTAATAACACAAATATTACATATGTTAAACTAGATGGCCTTTCTCCATTGCAGTGTTGTTCTCTAGGGCAGTGCTTCTGGTACTTAAATGTGCATATGAAATACTCAGGGATATTGTTAAATATGTAGATTTCTGATTCTGGTCTGGGGTGAGGACAAGATTCTGTGTTTCTAACAAAGTCCCATGCTGCTGGTCCCTGGGTCACACTTTGAGTACTGGGCAACACGCTTGTTATGAAAGATGTGGCTAAAGGCCAGGTATTAAAGAGGTCTTTGAGTGCTCGCTTCAGCAGCACATGTACTAAAATTGGAACAATACAGAGAAGATTAGCATGGCCCCTGCACAAGGATGACACGCAGATTTGTGAAGCATTCCATATTTTTGCCACATATGGAAGCATTGCTTTGATGATCTTATACTTCAGGTTAAGGTCTAAAAAAACTCCAGCTATGAAAGCAACATAAACTTTCTAAACTGTACCTCAACTGTTAAGTTCCCATGCCTGGAGAAGCTATTGCAACTCATTCTGTGATAGTCAATTTGTACAATAAATGATGAACCTGAGGGAAAAAAAAGAGGCCTTTGGGAGGCAGGCTTAGGAGTGTGGGGATTTGGAGAGAGAGAAAGGGATATAGAGCCAGATAATAACGATAGCTGCATAAATTATACAAGAACATGTCAAACAGATTAATTGGGAAACATTTTTTATTTGTGTACCTGCTGCTGTAAGAGTTATAAAAAGCACGAATTAGATGTTACCAGTTCTGGATTCTAACGTTGGCATTGATAAAAGCAGTGTGATTGATGAAATTATTTTACAAGGATTCAAGTTCCTTATCAATAAATATAAAACAAAGGAGATGGATTAGATGGTTCTGTTTTCTAATCTGAGGACTCAGATTATCAGGGCTCACCAAAGGTAGCAATACTAAGTGATTTTCGGTTATTCAAACAGCATAATGTGCATATTTACTTGTTATAAGGACCTTAATAAGTGTACTCTGTGGTGTCCATGTAGGCAAGTAATTTTGGTAGTCAAAAACAAAAAAAACAATACCTTGGCAACCTCTGGAATAGTTAAGATTTGAGTCCCTTGTAGATTAGAAATTCTGTTACTATATCTAAATGACCTAATAGTGATTGGCATGAGGTGCTATAACCTTGACTTGAAGGTGCATTAAATAGAAGATTGTTTATATGACTTAAAGTTCTATTCTTTTTCTTTCAATACTCTACAATAGACTCTTGTCATTCATGAGGTTGAGACCTTTAAAAAAACCTAAATCCTGAAGACTAGCCAGCATATTATCTCAGTTTCTTCAATCTAAAATGGTGATAATACTTTACAGAGCTATTGTGTTAGGCTTAAGTGAGGAGAAAGCCTTTTTGAGTTTCAAGTTTGGGTCAGATTAGCTAGGTTACTTTTAGCATAACCCAACTCACCCGGAATTCCTGGATTATTTTAATTAATGTTTCAGCAAAGTTAAGTTTTGGAATATGTTGAACATTTTTGTTTTGAAATCTTTTTTTTTT